CCCCTTCCTCTTCAAAACCGACCTTGCCCTCAAGGTCGAACGTGGGGTACTTCTCCCGCAGTGTCGATGTCTCCTCCCAGGTCGCGTCCTCGAGCTCGACATGCCTCCACTGGACCAGGCTTTCTTCAATGAGGCGGCCCTTCCTCTTGGTCCATCGCGTCTCTATCACGCGCAAGGGTGTCAGCTCCAAGTCCCCGTCTGCACTAACCGGTGGTGCAGTAGTCTCCACCCGATCCGCCGGACCTTTGTAGCGCTTCAACAAGAAAATGTGGAATGTCGGATGGATGGGAGCATCTACTGGAAGCTGCAGTCGGTAAGCCACTGGGTTGACCTTCTGCAAAATCTCATATGGTCCAAAGTATCTCGCGGCAAGCTTCTGATAAGCCCGCCCGAACACTGTCGCCTGCCTGTAGGGGTGTAGCCGCAGCAGCACTAGGTCCCCCACCTCGAACTCTTCCTCGCGCCTTCCCGCATCCGCTAACTGTTTCATCCGGTTGTTGGCTGCAGCCAAGTTAGCCTTCAGCTGTGCTATGGCTTCATCCCTGCCCCCGAGCCACCTGTCGACTGCATCGACCGAACTATTCCCTTCCCGGTAACGCACCAGAGATGGAGGTGGCCTGCCGTACAGCGCCTCGAATGGTGTGGTCCCGATAGCTCGATGGTACATGGTGTTATACCACAGCTCTGCCCACGGGACCATGGCCAACCAACTCCTAGGCTGCTGGTGTGTGAAACAACGAAGATACTGCTCCAGGTGCCGGTTAATCACCTCTGTCTGACCGTCCGTCTGGGGATGGTACGCCGAGCTCATCCGCAGCGCTGTACGAGCCATGGTGAACACCTCCTGCCAAAAATGGCCGAGGAAGATAGGGTCCCGGTCACTGACAATCGTCCGGGGAAACCCATGGTGTCGCACCACTCCGCTCACGAACTGCTCAGCTACTCCTCTTGCCGTGTAGGGATGTGCTAGAGGCATGAAGTGAGCATACTTCGTGAGCCGGTCCACCACCACGAACAGCACCGTCTTCCCTCCTGAGGGCGGCAAGCCCACGATAAAATCCATGCTGATGTCTTCCCAGACCCGCTTCGGAACTGGTAACGGCTGCAGCAGCACGGCCGGTCGCAGTTGCGACACCTTCACCCTCTGACAGGTATCATAGGAAGCCACATAATCCTTAACTGTCTGGCCCATCTTAGGCCAGTAAAAGTGTGCCCTGACCCGACGTAGGGTCCGCTCAACCCCAGAATGTCCGCCGAATGGCGCATCGTGGAACTCCTGTAGGATAGCAGTAACCAATGAGGATCCGGGTGGAAGGACTAGACGTCCTTTGAAGGACACCAAGCCCCCGCGGAATGTGTAGTTCCCCGGCTCCTCACTCACTGCAATGTCTCGACACTTCTGCAGGTACGAATCTGTCTTTGTGAGAGCCCTCAGCTCATCCCAAAATTGAGGTACGGGTCCGGTCACTGCTGCCAATATCTCCACACCCTGACACCGAGACAGGCCGTCGGCCACGACGTTGGTAGAGCCTGGCTGGTAGTGAATCTCATAATCGTATCCCAGCAACTTCGAGATCCACTTGTGCTGATCTGGCGTCGAGATCTTCTGGCTCAAGAGATGCTTCAGGCTCTGGTGGTCCGTGTATATGTGGAATTTGTGCCCCAGAAGATAAGGCCTCCATGCCTGTACTGCAGAGATGATGGCCTGCATCTCCTTCTTATAAGTCGACCAAGCCTCTTTGGTCGGGGCTAGGGTCCTACTCAGGAAGGCGATCGGGTGTCGGTCCTAAGATAGCACTGCCCCGATCCCCCACCCTGATGCATCAGCTTCGATCACGAACGGTTTGGAGAAGTCTGGCATTGCCAACGTCGGGGTTGTGGTCATGGCCCGCTTCAGATCCTGAAAGGCCGCATCTGCCGCCGAGGTCCACTCAAACCCTCCTTTTTTTAGCAGGTTCGTCAGTGGCCTTGCAATCATACTGTACCTCTGCAAGAATTTTCTGTAGTACCCTGTCAAACCCAAAAACCCGCGCAACTCTGTGACGGCGGTCGGTACTGGCCACTCCACCATAGCTCGAACCTTGGACTGATCCACCTGCACCCCCCGTGGCGTCACTATGTGACCCAAATACTCCACCTCCTGAACCCCAAACGCGCATTTAGAAGCTTTAATGTAGTACTGGTGTTTCTTCAGTATCTCAAACACAGCCTGCAAATGACGCATATGGTCCTCCCAACTCCGACTATATACCAGGATATCATAAAAAAACACCAAGACATACCGGCGTAGCAGAGGGCAAAATATGTCGTTCATGGCTGCCTGAAATGTGGACGGGGCGTTGCATAACCCGAACGGCATCACTAAGTACTCATAGTGCCCGTTATGCGTCCTGAAGACAGTCTTGTGCGCGTCCTCCTCCTGCATTCGGATCTGATGATAACCGGCCCTCAAATCCAACTTGGTGAAGTAAGCCGCCCCATGGAGCTCATCCAACATGTCATCTACGGTCGGAATGGGAAACCTGTCCTTCACCGTTGCTTCATTGAGAGCTCGATAGTCGGTACAGAACCTCCAAGTTCCGTCCTTCTTCTTGACCAACAAGACTGGTGAAGAAAAGGGACTGGTACTCGGCCGGATCAACCCGGTCTCCAACATCTCAGACACTTGCCTCTCGATTTCTTCCTTCTGTGAGTGCCCATAGCGGTACGGCCGGACATTCACTGCATCCACCCCCTCCTTTAGCTGAATCCGATGATTCACCTTCCGGTGTGGAGGAAGTGTAGTCGGACTTTGGAACAACTCAGGGTACCGATCCAATAACCCCTGCAGCTCGGCGTTGATCTCTGTCTTCGCCGTCTCAGCCAGCGGCCAGCAAAGCACGGCCAACTCGGCCTCCCCTCCCGTCGCGCATTCCCGAATGGAGATGGGTCCCATCACCGTCGTGAGCCCCTGCAAGGTCCACTCCTTGTCCCTCCACTTGAAGCACATGGTCAAACTTCTCCAATCACTGATTACCGGGCCCAAGCTTCTCAACCATGATATCCCGAGGATCACATCGAATCCCCTTATTGGCAGCACATACAAGTCGACTGTGATGTCTAACCCTTGCACAGTGAGAGTCATACCTCGGTAAACCTGTTTGCACCCCATAGGTACTCCATTGGCGACTTTGACGGTGATCGCGTTGACCGCCGTAGGCTCTTGATTCAGTGTCTTGGCGAACTCCAGGCTGATGAAGTTGAGGGACGCCCCACTGTCGACCAGGGTGATGGCCGTTCTGCCGTCCACCGCTGCTCGGAACCGCAGCGTCCCCGGCGAAGCTTGCCCCGCCACGGAGTGCAGCAAAACGACGGGCGGCTCCTCCTGCAACGCGCCGCGGCCCTCCTCAGCTCCGTCGCGCCCCGCCTCAGCCCCGCCGCACTCGGCCTCGGCCCGGCCAGGTCCCGCGCGCGCGCTCGGCTCTGCTGCTAAGGGCGGCGCTGGTGCGCCCCTTCCTTCCTTCCTTCTTCGCTGCCCTCAGCCGAGCTTCTTGCTCTCGGCGGTTCAACGTTTGGCGCAGCAGCTCTTGCAGTTGAGTCCACTCAGAATCATAGAGCTGTGACGAGCTCATGTTGGCTCTGATACCAGATGATAGAAACTAGAAATGGGAATTAGGGATTGGAAGTGAAGAAATTAGGGATTCAAGAGATTGAAGAAGAACTAGAGAAAGAGGGACTAGGGATTTGGGAAATTCTGTGATTATTATTGCCTGCCCCTCAAAGTACGTTGCTGAACCTTTTAAATAGAAATTCTAGAGAACATGAAATAACAATAATGCCACCGGTCACCCGACCCGGTCACCCAACCCGCTGGTCGGGTTTCTATCATAGTCACGATGGATAAATTGATGAAATGGATAAAGGTGGTGGATGGAGTGTGTGTGCTTTGTAAGCTGGAGTCCAGAGAGCATCTGTTCTTTCAATGCTCTTATGCGAAAGAGGTAATAGAGGGCTTGAGCTGTCTTGCTTTCCACATGGATTCTTTGCCTGCTACAGTTGCTGCAGCATGTCAGTTATGCAAACAGAGACAGGGATACATTGCAGGGCTGATTTGGTATTTTCTGGTGGCCTCTATTTGGAAGGAAAGATGCAGGCAGAGGCATGGGGAGCTTCCTCGTTCGGCTGTTGACTTGCAGGGTGTGATCAGAAGAGACTTACTGATGGTGGGAGCAGCTAGGAACATACTAGTAGAGATGGTCGCTTTGGCATCTCCTGATTTTTTGTGTTTTGTTCTGGTAGCAATGTTTGTGTGGTGTCGATTAGTAGTTAGTGATTAGTAGATGGGTTGGGTTTCTGCTTTGTCTTATGGGTATCCTTGGGATATCCATTTCGTTTTATCAGATTTTCCATGCATCTTGCATGTTTTGAGTAATAAGATGACGGTGACTGATTCAACTAAAAAAAAGAAACAAAATTTATTTTAGCTTTAATTTATTTGTTCAGAAATTACTTATTATTTGGTTAAAATAAATAATTAACAATGTGGCATGGTCAAACGTTTGATTTCTTGCCACATCATCAAAAGATTGCCATCTCATTAAAAGCTCTGCTACGTCAGAGTCAACTAATGATTGACCGAATGAAAAGTTAATGATTTGACAATTTTATTGTTTTTGAAAAGATTTGGCTATTGTTTGTGCTGTAATAAAATGTTTGGCTATTATATAATATTGTATTTATCCCTACCTTTTCTTTTCAAACAACAATTTACCCTTCACTTACTTTTTTTTTTAAGAACATCCCCGTTCACTTACACCCCCTTACAATTTACATCCCTACATTTACACATCAATTTACACCCCTCGAATTTGCACTCCTCAATTGCGAAACATAACATTATAAAATTGGTTTCATGTACCTCATGCATATAATAAAGGATAAGGTAGTACTAGTAGGGGTAAACAGGAAGTGAAATAAAACCATAATGTGTCCGACAAAAAAATGATGAGCAAGTTAAAATAATAACAAAAGTCGTATTATTCCTTGGAAGTGTTCACAAATCTATCCTCCCATACCAAAGGAACCAACCATCCATCCATCCATCCATTATTACAACACTAATAATTGAATAAAAATTCACAAAGACGGCAAAACCCACCACCACTCTTCAGCACATCATAAATTAACAACCCAACAACAACGACAACAATTTTTTCGAAAAAAAAAAAAGACGCTTTAGCTATTGATAAGACCACATTGCTTCCTGATTTCACCAACGGAGCCAGTTTTGACACCAATGCGGCCCATTTTCTCCATGGACTTGGCAAACCTAGCAAAGTAATCCCGAACAGAGCCCTTGCCAATCTTATTGACCTCTCGCAATGAAGCAGAGTTGGAAGTCAGGGCGGCATCCGACTCGAACAGCCCTCTCTTCTTCAACAGGAGGCTGTAGTAGCCTAGGTCGAACTTGTTCCTGCTTCCAGGGTCCATCTCCACTTTCGTCGTGGTGTCGCCGATGCTTCGGCACTTCCTCGCCTTAAGATTGGCCGCGTAGCTGCTGTCCAGAGCTGGATCCACGTCTCCCCTGCCGGTGAAGTTGTAGAGACGGTTGGTGAAGGAAGAGCAATGAGCGAGGCCAATGGTGTGCGCACCTGAGAATATCGCGAGGGAAAAAATTAAAATTGTTCTTGATGAATGAATGTATGTTCTTCCTTTTCACTTGATACATTTCGAATTATCGTAACTGTTGTCTATTATTGTCTAATATGATGATATGCCTTGTTTACTTGATGAAAATGATGTCTTTGTAATCTCATATTTTACATTATTTGATAATTTATCGTGCAATTTTCACGATAGCAAATGTGAAACAGAGTCGAAATACGTAGCTAGCATTACCTGAAAGCAGTACGAGGTCTGTCAAATCCAGCCCTTTGTTGGCGAACATAGTTCTGAGAGTGGTAATGTTGCCGAATGGAGGAGGAAGGTTGTTCAGTGCCTCTGATGATCTAGAAATCAAGCCGTCTCTTCGACCAGTGGGTACTTTCCATGAAGGACCTCCCTGTGATACAACACACAAGTTTCAAAAACTTGAATTAGGTCCCTGGAGACAGACACATGCATCCATTTCAGAACAAGTTCATTAATTTTTTGCTTAAGCTTACAGTGGCAACAATGGAGTCCCTGGCGACCAAAGTGAGGACATCAGCACATGACACAACTCCAGGGCACGCAGCTTCCACCAGGCTCTTCACCCTGTCGATGAAGTCGAACCCTCGGAGGGAAAGATTCGGCGGGGACTGCCTCTCAGTTTGCTCCCCTGAAGTCGTGTTCAGAAGGACCGAGGCATCACAACCCTGTTTTTGACAAAAGGATGTTCAGTTAAGCTCCATTACTTGAGGGTCTCGAAAACGAGGAGAAACATTCATTAAGAACAGAATTAAAAACCCACCCTGACGAAGCAGTCATGGAAGTGCATCCTGATGAAAGTAGCAGCCAGAGAAGGAACACTGGGGATGTGCTTATTGACATAGTCCTGAACTATCTTCTCTGCTTTTGGGCAGCTCTTGGAGTAGAAACCCATCTTCAATTGAGCCTGGGCGGAGCCAATGCTGCTGGCTAAAACCATGGCAAGAGTGAAGAGTAATGCCTCATAGAAACCAAACTTTCCCATCGTTTTCAAACTTCTTTAATTTTTGAAGTATGGGAACTTTGTAGGTTCTCTCTAGGATTGCTAGTTATGGCTAGGAGAGAAGGGGAATACTTGAATAGGATGGGTGCAATTGCCAAACACAGGACAATGGGTTGGCTTTATATAGGGGTGGCTAGATTAGAGTTTGGTGATACGAGAAGCAACAACATGCATATATTTTATTTTATTTTTGAGAAAAGAAGGTGATAAGTGCATAGTTAGATTGCACCCCTAAGTGGGTCTCTCTATGGTTGAATTACTTCATTTAATCATATAATTTCAAGCAGGGGAGGGTTGTCAACTTGAAGTTTGCATAGTTCCGAATACAATGTGTTTAAAATAACAGATGTAGAATTATGGGTGAACAAAGTGACCCGCAAACCGACTCACTCGTCCAACCCGATTCCAACCCATCCGTATTTATCGCTAAAATTAAAGTTTCAGGTTGGATGAGAGTTTTCTTTTGTACAACCCGTCTCTTTTGAGTTGGGTTTGGATGTTTGGTTTCACAGCCCGTTGAACCCGACCCAACCCGTGTCCCAACTATTCGTATGAGTTTTTTATAAAAAAAATAATTTTATCTTCTGTAAGCATATTTGTGATTCACGTAACCTATGCATTCTTCGACTTAAAATTAGACGTAAATTTAATATAGGTTATGATTCATGTGATCATTTTTCTTGTATATAATTTTAAGAGAATAATATATTATGGATGTGTTCGTTTATATCCTCTTTAGCCTATTTTGACAAATGTTTGTGAAAAAACTAGACATATGTGGGGCATTTTATTTAATACTTTTCACGTAAGTTTATTCATTTGAAATTTTAGTTAATTAGTTATATAATATTTTTATGGTTAGAATAATTATTCTTTTCGGTTGGGTTGGATTTTTACTTAAAGGTATCGACAACCTTATCCAACCAAATTATATACAAACCGTAGTGTTCAAATTTTGTTGGGTGGGTTTGGATTTAGTATTTTCGAAACAGTAGGTTATGGGTCGGGTGATTAAAATGGCTATATCCGGACTATCCGACCCATGTACACCCCTAGATGTAGTTATCGAGATTCGAACAAAGACCTCTCGATAATAAAATATTCTAATACTATGTCAAGAAATAGTTCATCCCAATAACTTAAATTATTGAGACATATTGAGATCATATACCATTTACCAATAATCGTTACTATTTTTAGTTCTGAAATAATGGTATCACATTTTACAAAACCATCATCCAAAAGAACCCCATAAGTTAAGTGAACAGCTATTTGCCGCCAACCAAATTGCTATTTGCCGCCAACTAAAAAAAAAAAAAATTCAAATTTTAAATTTTCCCTTCCTTCCCAGTGCCTCCGTCTCTGGCACCGTTCTTGCGTCGTCGGCTAACCTCCCGTCGCCCTCAATCGTCGGAAAACAAGTAAGTTTACTTTTTCCGGCCAATTTTCCAGCGAAAAACACGGCGGGCCGAAAAAAAATTGCGGTCCGAACGCCGCCGAGCCGAAAAAAATTTGCGCCCGGAGCGACGTCGGGCCGAAAGAATTTTTCGACCGGGCGTCGCACCGGCCGCAAATATTTTTCGACCAGGCGGCGCACCGGCAGCAAAAGTTTTTCGGCCCGAGTAATTGGGTTTCAGGCTTCCCACACGGCCAGGGGCACACGGCCTTGTGAAGCCTCGCAGAATTCCACACGGCCAAAGTGCAACTTCACACGGCCGTGTGAGTTGTGTGTGTGCCCGTGTGGCTTTCTTTTTGACTTGCCTCGCACCCGATCTTCGTCCAATCGACCCCGAACGCGCTCGAAATCCATAATGAAATCCATAAGTTCATAATGACACTAGGGTCATTAAAAATACAATTAGAAAAACAACAACATATAAATAGAGCATTGCAACACTATGCATTGCTCCTACCCCTTCCCCTAGCTCTTCGGGGGTCTCTCTGCCTGGCTCGCTGCCGACCACCAAGGGTTTAGGGTTCAGGGTTCAGGGTTTAGGGTTCAGGGTTTAGGGTTTGAAACACATGGTTCGTGTAGCACTTTGCCCACATTGTCTGATGAGGCAACCACTCACCTCGCACGCAGGCAACCGCCGGAATTTTTCGGCCCGGCCAGGTTCCGGCTGCCGGAATTTTTCGGCCCACCTTCTGTTCGTTTCAAATCGTCGGAAAATTTTTTCGAAACTACAAAAAAATTACGCACCTGCTTAGTGATGATTCATGGATGCGTGTACGCAGTATATGTCGAGGATAGGCTTTCCCGATGATTTTCCGGCGACTTTTCCGGCGAGCGTTGAATTTTTCTGATTCAATACGTTCTCTGAAAGTTGGATATGTTGTAGATTGTGAAACTCCTTAACCAAAGATGTATATATATACTTTTTTTTTCATCGATGATTTTCCGGCGACTTTTCCGGCGAGCGTTGAATTTTTCTAATTCAATACGTTCTCTGAAAGTTGGATATGTTGTAGATTGTGAAACTCCTTAACCAAAGATGTATATATATATATATATTTTTGGTTGGCGGCAAATAGCAATTTGGTTGGCGGCAAATAGCAAGCCCCTAAGTTAATCCAGATCACATATCAAAATGCATAATTGCTTTGGTATTGGAGGAATAGTGGGGGTGCGATCGAACCGCCCTATCCTCCCTTACCAACAACACCGTTTCCTAATTCTTCTACTATTATATATGTCTTTGACTTTGACAATAAACTGGAAGGATGATTGATAAACTTAATGATGATGATCAGGAACACAGTTTTTCTTTTCCCTGCTGTTAGTAAAAGAATCTTTTTAGTCAACTTTGTGAGGGAAAATTGCATGCCTGGAGAAACCGAAATTACAACCTAGCTAGCTTTGGCTAAATCAACACGTCCTCATCACATTCATCAAAACACAACCAACGAAACACGTTCTGTTAACTACTTCATCAAAACGACAAAGATTAGTTGGGGATCAATGCAACGCAGATTTGCCCTAATTTGTTGTTTAATCACTCACCAGTAAATCAAAATCCTTCGTGTTTTCTGTTCTTGCTCATGTGGTGGTATATAGTATATATACAATGCGGAGCTCTATTGTTCAATCTTTTCCCGGCCCCATGCACATTATTATTTACCGGCCGCCATCCATGCAATGGAACCTATTTGTACCATCTAGCTCGAGGTATGAACAATAATATTTGTTGTGTGGGTTGACTTGTCATCCGTTCGTTTGATCTCGTCGGGAAGGAAAGAACCTGTGAAAAGCGGGGGATGTCCCCCAGATTAAACTCTGACGATCAAGTCAGTTTGTGTTTAAAGTGAGTTGAGAGAATAATATAGAGAGATGAAGTAGAGAGAGAGTTAAATTGTAAAGTGAGGGAGAGGAGAAGAGTCCCCCTCTTGGACTGCTTGGAAGCGCTTATATAGCCATGACGAGCTCAAGCGTCACGGTTGGGCGTCACTGTTGCGCGCCTCTGTCGCGCATCACTGTTAAGAGTACTGGTTGGGCGTCTCTGTCGCGCGTCACGGTTGGGCGTCACTGATAGACTTCCAGCTGGTGTGCTACTATTTAGTATCTGCGCGCCAGGTTAGGTAACATCCCCAACAGAACCTTTTACCAATTCAATCACCTAATTAGCTCAACGGTAAGTTCGTGTCAAACTAATTATATGATCCATAATTGACCTGATCAAATTTGGGGATGTGTACGATAGTGTTATTGGACAATCCAAGTACCACATCGGTAATACAAGGGAAGGGACCTTTGTATATAAGTGTCCACCAAGCCTAATTAGTACAAGGCCGTTTGGAGAGGACACCCAAAAAGTAAAACCGTGCGGGCTTGGCCCAAAATGGACAATATCATACTAATTGAGCGGCCCGATTTGACAAGTGGTATCAGAGTCTAGTTCGGTTTCGGGGCGGTGGACGTCAGTTTGGTGGGACCCTCATTCGCTAACCTCGAGATTTGAGATTTGCGTCTGGTTTGATGGAGATCCAAGTCTGGTTTGGCGGATCAAAAGAAGGTTCGCTCTGGGAAGCAGATCAAAGAGAGTTATGCGTTTGACGGATCCAGGAGAGATCCGCGTATGGGAAAATCCTTGTATCGAGAAGCCCATCGGTACAACGGGCTGGCGGATCAAGATAATCGCTGAGGTGAGGACATGAAATTCGTGGTCCTCTCCCTTGTCACTGTTAAGAGTCCTGGTTGGGCGTCTCTGTCGCGCGTCACGGTTGGGCGTCACTGATAGCACTTCCAGCTGGTGCGCTACTATTTAGTATCTGCGCGCCAGGTTAGGTAACATCCCCAACATAACCTTTTACCAATTCAATCACCTAATTAGCTCAACGGTAAGTTTGAGTCAAACTAATTATATGATCCATAATTGACCTGATCAAATCTGGGGATGTGTACGATAGTGTTATTGGATAATCCAAGTACCAAATCTGTAATACAAGGGAAGGGACCTTTGTATATAAGTGTCCACCAAGCCTAATTAGTACAAGGCCGTTTGGAGAGGACACCAAAAAAGTAAAACCGTGCCGGCTTGGCCCAAAATGGACAATATCATACTAATTGAGCGGCCCGGTTTGACAAGTGGTATCAGAGTCTGGTTCGGTTCCGGGGCGGTGGACGTCAGTTTGGTGGGACCCTCATTCGGTAACCTCGAGATTTGAGATTTGCGTCTGGTTTGATGGAGATCCACGTCTGGTTTGGCGGATCAAAAGAAGGTTCGCTCTGGGAAGCAGATCAAAGAGAGTTATGCGGTTGACGGATCCAGGAGAGATCCGCGTATGGGAAAATCCTTGTACCGAGAAGACCATCGATACAAGGTGTCTGGCGGATCAAGATAATCGCTGAGGTGAGTACATGAAGTTCGTGGTCCTCTCCCTTGTCACTGTTAAGAGTCCTGGTTGGGCGTCTCTGTCGCGCGTCACGGTTGGGCGTCACTGATAGCACTTCCAGCTGGTGCGCTACTATTTAGTATCTGCGCGCCAGGTTAGGTAACATCCCCAACAGAACCTTTTACCAATTCAATCACCTAATTAGCTCAACGGTAAGTTCGTGTCAAACTAATTATATGATCCATAATTGACCTGACCAAATCTGGGGATGTGTACGATAGTGTTATTGGACAATCCAAGTACCACATCGGTAATACAAGGGAAGGGACCTTTGTATATAAGTGTCCACCAAGCCTAATTAGTACAAGGCCGTTTGGAGAGGACACCGAAAAAGTAAAACCGTGCGGGCTTGGCCCAAAATGGACAATATCATACTAATTGAGCGGCCCGGTTTGACAAGTGGTATCAGAGTCTGGTTCGGTTTCGGGGGATGGACGTAAGTTTGGTGGGACCCTCATTCGCTAACCTCGAGATTTGATATTTGCGTCTCGTTTGATGGAGATCCACGTCTGGTTTGGCGGATCAAAAGAAGGTTCGCTCTGGGAAGCAGATCAAAGAGAGTTATGCGTTTGATGGATCTAGGAGAGATCCGCGTATGGGAAAATCCTTGTACCGAGAAGCCCATCGATACAAGGTGTCTGGCGGATCAAGATAATCGCTGAGGTGAGGACATGAAGTTCGTGGTCCTCTCCCTTGTCACTGTTAAGAGTCCTGGTTGGGCGTCTCTGTCGCGCGTCACGGTTGGGCGTCACTGATAGCACTTCCAGCTGGTGCGCTACTATTTAGTATCTGCGCGCCAGGTTAGGTAACATCCCCAACAGAACCTTTTACCAATTCAATCACCTAATTAGCTCAACGGTAAGTTCGTGTCAAACTAATTATATGATCCATAATTGACCTGACCAAATCTGGGGATGTGTACGATAGTGTTATTGGACAATCCAAGTACCACATCGGTAATACAAGGGAAGGAACCTTTGTATATAAGTGTCCACCAAGCCTAATTAGTACAAGGCCTTTTTGGAGAGGACACCCAAAAAGTAAAACCGTGCGGGCTTGGCCCAAAATGGACAATATCATACTAATTGAGCGGCCCGGTTTGACAAGTGGTATCAGAGTCTGGTTCGGTTTCGGGGCGGTGGACGTCAATTTGGTGGGACCCTCATTCGCTAACCTCGAGATTTGAGATTTGCGTCTGGTTTGGCCGATCAAAAGAAGGTTCGCTCTGGGAAGCAGATCAAAGAGAGTTATGCGTTTGACGGATCTAGGAGAGATCCGCGTATGGGAAAATCCTTGTACCAAGAAGTCCATCGATACAAGGTGTCTGGCGGATCAAGATAATCGCTGAGGTGAGGACATGAAGTTCGTGGTCCTCTCCCTTGTCAAACCGGGCCGCTCAATTAGTACGATATTGTGTGTTTTGGGCCAAGACTGCACGATTTTACTTTTTGGGTGTCCTCCCCAAAAGGCCTCGTACTAATTGGGCTTGGTGGACACTTATATACAAGGGTTCCTTCCCTTGTATTACAAATGCGGTACTTGGATTGCCCATAACAGATAGATTTCAAGTTCGTACTAATGTTTTTATTATTCCGGCGGATCTTAGAAAGATAGTCTCTTGAAAATATTGGAGGAATCCAACCTGAAACATCGCTCATGTGAGTTCATCACATTAATTACATGAGTGGTAACAGTTGGACGAATTTGTATGATGTTTGTTGTTAGTTTTAGGTCACCTTAGTAAGTTTGATTATGTATTCAACGACTTATCAAAACAAGTTCATAAATTATATAAGTACATGCATGTAAGTAATTTATCTTGTTATCGTGAACCAATTAGTTTTAATATATAGTATCGTAACAACATCATTGATGGGCATTTATTGTGATTTGTGAAGCAATATCATGTTATCATGAACCAATTAGTTTTAATATATAGTACGGTAACTAGATCGGTGATGGACATTTGTTGCGGTTTGTGAACCAATTAGTTTCAATAACTCAAATTGTTAGCAGAGGTTCAGACATGAATCTTATTCGAGTCCTTTACATGCACCCTCAAACGAAAATCAATTTATGAACTTGGAGTTTATAGAAACCAACATACCACGTATTTAAATCAACTATTAATTTACAGGTTGTACAACCTTTAACTTCAAACATAGTGGTCAAACCCCGTTATAATATTATGTTAAAAGCCAATTAACCCAATTAATATGAATAACTCGATATATCGAGTTATTGAAAAAGAGCCAAACAGGAAGTTTCATTCCCTTAGAACATTGAGGCACACCTTTTATGTTTGTGATTTGTGAATAGTAAAAACAAGGTGGGGGTAAAATTTAGGATGTCTGACTTTCGAGACATAGAGGATATGTACAAGCAGAGAGGCCATTTGAATATGAACGTTTTGTTCTACCTGCTCTGTGAGGCGACTTCTTAATAATTTCTGCCCTTTTGTTTCTCTTTCAGTTTGCTCTTTGCTGTCTATGGCAATTATTTGCTGGCCATTACGATCACATTTGGGAAGATAATGGACTTTAGCATACAGTTGGTTTTTTCCTTTCCTTTCTGGAAATTAAAATGCTAACACATACTTTTTTGGAAAACGTTGACTTCATAAACTTAATTGGGATTTAAGGTCTTATTTACAATATCTTGATTGTAGAGAAACTGGTATCTTGGTTTGCATTTGAATTTTGTATACAAACTATAACTTGTTTTGTGCTCTCTTGATAGAAGGGTTGTTGGAAACGTGTTGCCCAAACAAAGCAGGGAATGTGGCTAATCAGAAGTTATTAGAATTTAGAACCTCAGGAGCATGGGAAGATCTAGGTGGGTTCTCGGAGGCTCTCGATTCCTTCGAGAATTTTAGAATTACGTAGAAAATTCTTTAGAATTTGGAAAATGTTACGTATAAATTAAAGTTTAGGGTTAATACCCTAGTTTGGCCTAAAGTTTAGCGTGAATGACAGTTTTGGCCCCATTTTTCAAATAAGACATTTATGGCCTACTTTTGAAATTATTGGACAAATTTGGCCCAAAACTTGTGTTGACCGTTAATATTAACGGTCAAACACTTATTCCATTAGTGACTCATCAAAGAACTACTGACGTGGCTTATACATGGTGCCATGTCATTAAATAAAATATTTCTTAATTTTCTAATTCAATTAATAAGAAAATAAAAATAACCCCAAAACCCCCCAACCTCCTACGGTCCTACCCTTATCTCTTCCTCCTGCCGCCTCATTCCCACTGATTCAACCCCTTCTTCCGCCGAGACCCGCCTCTACATCCCCAGACGAGACAGAGAGAAGAGGAAGCTGCCGGTGTTGGTGTACTTCCATGCCGGCGCGTTCAAGGGTAAGACGCCGTCGGGGTGGAACGAGCGGCTGTGGAAGAAGATCTGCGGGGGCGCGGGGCAGGGCTTTTGACTGGGACTGGTTCCTTTTCCTCTTCTTCGTCCTCGACATGCGCTTCGGCGGCGAGGGATTTTCAACAGGCGTCCCCTCAGATTCCACTCCATCATCGTTAAGATCGATGGATTCAGACCCGATTCAGGTTTTGCTCATCTTCTCCCTCAGCCGAACGAACTGGTGGCTGTTCGTCTTCTCCCTCACACTATCGCTGCTATAAACCCACCGCCCTTCAACTCTCTCTCCAACGATCCTCTCTCATTCCCCGATATCTGCTTCCTCCGCACCAGATCTGAGTTGATGGCGGCGATGTCGAGATTTTTGTGGGCTCGATTGTCGACTAGAGAGAGGGAGGAGGTTGTTGGCGAAGGCGCCGGTAGGCCATCGATCGAGGAGAAGGGACCGCGACGACGATAATCGTTACCGTCGAGACCCGAACACCTCCCTCCTTCTGCTTACGTCGTCTTCTTTCGATGGTTCGTTACAAAACTCATCCACCTCTGGCGCTGGTCGGGATTGAAATTGGAGGAGCGATTTTGTTGATTTCCCCTCTATTTGACAGGGGTGAATTACTTCCTTTCTCAATGACGTCGAGGGCACCATCTATCACGGCGAGGGAGTGGGTTTTGGCGATTGGAGGTTTGTCCAAGAGGAGAGTGGAAAAAGTCTTAGGGAAAAAATATTTATATATTTAATTAGTTTTTATTTTTTTAATTTCAATAAATGATGACGTTTAAGATCCTAGTCAACACCAAATACTGAGTCACTAACGGAAAAATCATTGACCGTCAATTTTGACGGTCAATTTAAAACCCATGCCAAATTTGTCCAATAATTTGGAAAGTAGGCCACAACTGTCTTATTTGAAAAATTGGGCCAAAACTGACATATACGCCAAACTTCGGGCCAAACTAGGGTATTAACCCTAAAGTTTATTACTAAAATTTTGTGTGTGCAATTTTATGAGGAATGAACTATGGTTATTTCAGAGGTTATTGCGCTTGCATTCTTTCCTATTAACTAGGGTTAGGGCTTTCTAATTGGCAGTTTTAATACATATGTTACCTCAGATTTATACTTTCATTTAATAAAGTGGCCATTTTGATAATTTGACTTTCATATGTTCTTATATAAGGCAAGTACTTTACTTCAAGTCAATTAAGTTTTTCAACTTTTAAATTTGTATGTTTAAAGATTCTATAACTTTCACATTTTGTTATAAGTCATGTACTTCCAAATTAAATCAATTAAGTTCTTTAAATTTTTAAATTTGTATGCTTAAGAATTCTTTTGGTTATATAATTAATTATATTTCTAAATTATAATATTAATGGACATTTATCTTCCAAACATGAAAATATTAAAACACATGTCATAGATTGAAATGCATTATTGATTTCTTATTTTTAGTTTGCTCATTTATTTAAAAAAAACATAAATTTTAGATTAAGACTAATTTGATTATTTCTAATATATTTTGTGCCTTTATAATCACAAAAAATTTGATTATCCTCATATATATATACTTATTCTTTTTAATTAAGATAATATACTAAATAACTCTCACTCTCATGAAACTCAATTCTTGACTCCGCTCCTGATAAGGAGATATGACTTTGTACCTTGTCAGCAATGGATTTGTGAACAATGCATGCATAAAAAAAAGTACTTTAACAAAAATAACAAAGTTATAGGTTTTAAAGTTCACAATTGAGTGATTTCCTTCTTCGGTAGAGTGTGATTTTGAGTGATAAAACCACAACTTCAAACGATGATCTCGAATCTCTAAAGGTATTCAATTGAAATAGGTAGCTCACTTGATAAGTAGAAAATCCTTAATGTCGCCTCTCCTTCTATCTTCATTCGTCCAACCGAATTGCTCAAATTTCTCACCAACCTTCTCTCATACTCCAATTGTGGAGAGTGAGTGTTTACACCAAAATGTTTCCCCCCTAAAAATACTACTTGTGAGGCCGTTCAATACTTGGTCACCATGTATTCAGTCACAGGGTAACCATCCAACTTCAAAGTGGATGGTAGCATCCCACATTATGGATACCATCCAACCTCTAGGTGGATGGTACCATCCCATAGAGTGGACACCATCCAACCTCTTAGTGGACGATGACAATCCCAATCCTATGGTGGATGGTACCGTCTCAAATATCATGGATACCATCCCAATCCAAGGTAGATTGATATGATCCCAAAATGATCAATCTTTGATTCACAATTGATTGTCAAAGGTGCCATGTTGAGTTACAAGAAAGAACATGAAAATTGGCTAAGTTACTTTTCTGTTTCAGGTACCCTACTTTGCACGTCCGGTTCTATCGCATGGCTCAATGGAAATGAGGGATTAAGGTCTCGTTGTGAAGCTGAAGTGTTTGTCTATCCATTGGAGTTATTGAGAGGTCCAGGAGAAGTAAGAAAGGGTGTTTTCCAAGCTCTCCAAAATTGTATGGCAAAACCGGCAAACTGCGAGAAAATGGCTAAGGCATGAGACAGTTTCGGGAAGGCTACTTGAGAGCTCGATTTAAGGGGCTTGAGTGAGACTCGAGTTTCAAGGACCAGACCACAAGAAAGTAGGTTTCTCCTACTACATCGACAAGGCGTTGGGTGATCAGATTTCTACCTGGAAGAGCTCTAATGAGGAGGCCAAAGATCGTATCGAGAATGGAGTTTATGCCTTGGATAATAAGCAATCTGAATCCTAGTCGGATTAGGATTAGTAGATTGTTTGTGTTTTAATTTGTTTTTGTGTTGGTTTTGGATCCTTTTCGTAGTAGATTGTAATTGTAACTTCTTTGAGAGTTAGTAGGATTAGCTAGGTCTATTTAGATCTTTCTAATTCGTTGTAATAGGGAGTTTTTTAGTTTAGTTGAATAAATCGTAAGGTTGTGATTCCATAGCATCTTGCTTTTTTGAGTTTAGAGATCTTCCTAGCTGAATCTAGGTTAGATTTCGACCTTGTATGGTTCAGTTATTCTCACTGTTCGTGGCCAAGCATCTACTCTAAGTTTTCGAGCCTCTTTCCCTACGAGAAGGTTGCACGAGATCACCATCCCAAACAAGAATACAAACTCTGTTTTGTGTTCTTCCTGACTGAGTTTTCGATTCAATCTTTGGATTGAATCTTGGTGTGCTTCTCTGATTCAAAACGACCTACTTAGGGGATTTTCAACTGACATCACGAGCCTGGTTCAAAACAATGGTCAGAACGGAGGAAAGGGCCATTTTCCGACGACCCTGCATCTGTGTTTCCAGAACCAACGAAGAAGAAGAAGTAGACAGTCATGGCAGGACATGCGTTTGACATGGAAATTAAAGAAGTTGGCGATCTGGAGTTGCTGAATAGAATTGCCGATCTGGAGTGATGTCTGGTCATCGCTGAGCCCCATCAAGATCGCCTACATCGCGATCAACGCGATCGGTAGCACGATGTGGAGATGTAGTACCCCTGGGAATCAAACTGGCTGTACCGTCATTTTAGGGGACGATGAACCCTTCATCGTACCTCGACTGGGAAAGGAAAATCATCGTTTTCTTTCAGTGTGGCCAATTCAGTGAGGCCCAGAAAGTGGCAATGGCCACTTTTGAATTCACGGATTATGCTGCCCAGTGGTGGAAACAGCTACAACGTCGCCGATAGCAAAACCTGCAAAATTCGGTAACGATGTGGGAGGAATTACGTGGATTAATGAGAGACAGGAAGCAAGAAGCACAGAGGAATTCTTCTGAGAAGTGGAATTACTAATGATGCGTGCCGATGCCAGGGAGGACCGAGAAGCGACGATTGCCTACTTTCTCCATGGTATGTGTTATAAACACGCTGCTACGGATCGGGAAATAGCCGGAATCGACAAAGCAAGAATGCGAAAGCGAGAATCGAAAACACAGACACACGATTTACGTGGTTCACTAACACGATGTGTGTTAGCTACGTCCACGGGCGAGAGAGAGCCAGTTTCACTATATCGAGGAGATTACAGATTACAGAGGAGTATGAGAAGTATTTATAGTACTTCTCCATGTGGGTCTAAACCTAATCCAATCTGGCAAAGGAAGCGGTTACAGACCAGGCCCAGAACCCGAACCCAAATAACAGCGAGACCCCCGATTACCAGTCGTAGCGGCTGATAATCCGATTCAAGTCATATCAACAAATCTCCACCTTGACTTGAATCCTCTTCCTCTGAAATCTCTGATGTACTCTGCTCCTTCTATCTCTCTCCCGCCATCAATGCTCCGCAGGGCGGAGTCACCCACTCAAGACATTCAGCAAGTCCAAGCAGTGTTGGAACTTGCCATGTGGAACCGGCTTCGTGAACATATCAGCAGGATTATCCGCGGTGCCAACCTTCTTCACCTTAATCCTCTTCTCTGTCCTCAAGAAATGATACCTCACGTCGATGTGCTTAGTCCTCTCATGGTGGACTTGATCCTTGGCCAAGCATATTGCACTCAAACTGTCGCAATACACCACTGCCTGATCATGATGTAGACCAAGATCACCAACCAGTCCCTTCAACCATATTCCCTCCTTAGCAGCTTCTGTCAACGCCATATACTCTGCCTCAGTAGTAGACAATGTCACCGCCGACTGCAAAGTTGCCTTCCAGCTCACTACAGAACTCCCAAGAGTGAATACATAACCGGTCATCGATCTCCTCGTGTCAACATCTCCAGCATAGTCCGAGTCAGAATACCCAGACACCAAGCACTCTGTATCACTTCCGAAGCTAATCCCCACATCAGGTGTACCCTTAAGGTACCGGAAGATCCTCTTCACAGCCTGCCAATGCTCCTTCCCAGGTTGTATCATAAACCTGCTGACAACACTAACAGCATGTGCAAGATCAGGTCTAGTGCATACCATAGCGTACATCAAGCTACCTATTGCACTAGCATATGGGACTCTCGACATGTACTCCTTCTCAGCCTCCGACTGTGGTGCATAAGCTGAGGATAGATGAACATTTGAAGCACTAGGAGTATTTAAGGGCTTTGCTGAAGACATGTCAAACCTCGACAGTATCTTCTGGATGTAGCTCTTCTGTGACAAGAAAAGCTTCTTCTTCGACCTGTCCCTGTAAATCTCCATACCCAAGATCTTCTGAGCAGCTCCCAAATCCTTCATCTCAAACTCAGCACTGAGAAGCCCCTTTAACTTCTGGATATCAGACTTTGACCTCGCAGCTATGAGCATATCATCCACATACAGAACAAGATAGATCATCGAACCATCCTCCACCTTGTTGTGATACACACAACAATCATATGGACTTCTGCTATAGCCCAGCTCAAGCATATAACTATCAAACCTCTTGTACCACTGCCTCGGAGACTGCTTAAGTCCATACAAGGACTTCTTCAGCTTACAAACATAGTCTTCTTTTCCCGGAACCTCGAATCCTTCTGGCTGAGTCATGTAAATTTCTTCCTCCAACTCTCCATGTAGGAAAGCTGTCTTCACGTCTAGCTGCTCGAGCTCCAAGTCATAATGTGCCACTATTGCTAGTAGCACTCTGATCGAAGTATGTCTGACCACTGGTGAGAAAATCTCATTGTAGTCAACTCCTTCCCTCTGCGAGAAGCCTCGTGCAACCACCCGAGCTTTAAATTTCATGCCCTCTTTAGAAGTGATTCCTTCCTTCTTCTTGTAGATCCACTTGTTTGTAACAATCTTCCTTCCCTGTGGTCGTTTGACTAGCTCCCAAGTCTGATTCCTGTCATGGGATTCCATCTCATCTCCCATTGCGGCAAGCCACTGATCAGCTTCACCACCCGAAACTGCTTCTCTGTAGGACTGTGGCTCTCCTGCATCCACTTCTTCAGCAACCTGAAATGAATACGCCACCATGTCCTCGAAGCCATACCTCTGTGGAGGTACTCCTGCAGTCGCTCTCTTCTGTCTACTGGAAGCAATAGACTGTTGAGCTCGTGCACTGGACTCTGAAGTTTCTGGCTCTGCAGAGACATCCTCATCATGTTGATCTTCTCCACCTTGGTGCTCAAACTCACTCTCATTGAGAGTTTGCAGCTCCACCTGCTTATCAACATTCCTGCTACCTTCAACAACAGTAACCTTCAACATGGGGTTAAACATAGACTTCTCATCAAATATCACATTTCTACTGAGTATAACTCGACGCTCAGAAGGTGACCAGACTCGAAATCCCTTAACTCCATCTCCGTAACCCACAAATACACCCTTCTTTGCCCTTGGGTTCAGTTTACCCTCATCCACATGATAATAAACAGGACACCCAAAAACTTTCAGTGAAGAGTAATCAGCAGGCTTACCATACCACACCTCATAAGGAGTCTTCAACTCAATACCTATGTGAGGTCCACAGTTGATCAGGAAGCACGCCATGTTCACTGCTTCTGCCCAGAATCTTCTCTCTAGTCCAGCATTAGAGAGCATGCACCGTGCTCTCTCCAACAATGTCTGGTTCATCCTTTCTGCAACGCCATTCTGCTGGGGTGTATCTCTCACAGTCCGATGACGGGCAATCCCTTCATCCTTGCAGAATTCGTTGAACTCAGAATTACAGAACTCCAGACCATTGTCCGTTCGCAGCTTCTTGATCTTCTTCCCGGTCTGATTCTCCACCAATGTCTTCCACTGCTTGAACTTCGTGAAAGCCTCACTTTTCTGCTTCATCATGAAAATCCAAGTAAATCTCGAATAATCATCAATAATAGACAGAAAATACCTGCTGCCTCCAATGGATTCAACTCGTGAAGGACCCCAACAGTCGGAGTGGAGGTAATCCAGTATCCCCTTCGTCCGGTGGATACCCTTCTTGGGAAACTTGCTGCGATGTAGCTTCCCAAACACACAATGCTCGCAGAATTCCAAATTCTGCATCTTGTGCCCGCAAAGAAGATCCCTCTTCGACAGAACTTGCATCCCCCGTTCACTCATATGCCCCAGTCTCATGTGCCAGAGATTGGTCATATCTTCCTGTTGAACCTGAGACGATGCAACTGCAGCAAAACCAGACAACACAGACCCTTGTAATGCATACAAGGTCCCACGCTTCACGCCCTTCAGCACCATCCTTGAACCTTTGCAGACATACACAACTCCACCTTTTCCTTTGAAACTGAAACCCTTGCTGTCGAGTAGACTCAAGGAGATCAGATTCTTTGTCATTCGTGGAACATGCCTGACATCATTCACGGTACAGAACGAACCATCATGTGTCCGAACCTTTATGGACCCGATTCCAACAACCTTGCAGACAGCTCCATTTGCCATGACCACGTTACCACCATCTATCTGCTCGTAGGTTGTGAAGCAATTCCTGTTCGGAGACATATGGTATGAGGCTGCAGTATCCAGAAACCACACATCCCCACGATGTGCCTTCTCATCTACAGCCAAGGCGAGATCGTCTTCAGAACTGTTGTCCACTTCTGCCACGGCAACTGAACCTTGTTTCTTCTGTTGCCCTCTTCTCTTGGGACAGTTGTACTTCCAATGCCCCACTTCCTTACAGTTATGGCAAGCATCACCTGGCTGTGGACCGGGACCCTTGGAATTCTTGTTCGAATTCCCTTTACCAGATTTCTTCTTTCCCTTTCCACCTGTAACAGCCAAACCCGATGCCTCACCACCTGTACCAGATCCGGACGCCTTATGTCTGATCTCTCTCGTATGAAGAGCAGACCTGACATCCTCCAAAGACACGCTTTCTTTACCAGCAATAAAAGAATCAACGAAATTCTCATATGAACTCGGCAAAGAAACCAGCAGGATTAGGGCAGCATCCTCGTCATCAACTTGAACATCTATATTACGCAAATCCAGCAAAATAGAGTTAAGCTGTTCGAGATGTTCCCTCAAAGGCGTACCTTCTTGCATCCTCAAGCTGAACAACTGTTGCTTGAGATGCAGCTTGTTGGTTAGAGACTTAGTCATGTACAGACTCTCTAGTTTCAACCACAAGCCCGCGGCAGTCTTCTCAGCAGCGACTTCAATGATGACATCATCAGACAACGATAGCATGATGGTCGAGTGGGCCTTCTCCTCCAGGGTATTCCACTCATCGTCATCGACCGCTGCCTTCTTCTGTTTCGCAGACAGCGCCCCCCACAGCCCTTGCTGTTTTAATAAAGCCTGCATCTTGATCTGCCATATAGCGAAGCTGTTCTTCCCCGTGAACTTTTCGATCTTCATGTTCACCGACGTCATTCTTCTGAATCGAAAACCCTAGCCTGATTTCCAGCCGCGGCTCTGATACCACTTGTTATAAACGCGCTGCTACGGATCGGGAAATAGCCGGAATCGACAAAGCAAGAATGCGAAAGCGAGAATCGAAAACACAGACACACGATTTACGTGGTTCACTAACACGATGTGTGTTAGCTACGTCCACGGGCGAGAGAGAGCCAGTTTCACTATATCGAGGAGATTACAGATTACAGAGGAGTATGAGAAGTATTTATAGTACTTCTCCATGTGGGTCTAAACCTAATCCAATCTGGCAAAGGAAACGGTTACAGACCAGGCCCAGAACCCGAACCCAAATAACATTGAGCCCATACACCGTGGGCCGGGGGCGTTGCCCCCGCACCCCCACCGGGGCGTTGCGGCTGATAATCCGATTCAAGTCATATCAACAGTATGAACAAGGAAATTTGGTAGGAGGTTGAGCTCAGAGCATTTGTCAATTTAGAGGAAGCTCTTTACCTCGCAATTAAAGTCGAAAGGCAGCAGAAAACCTCGAGTAGGAGCACTCCGGTCAGCAAGGCGGTGACATAGACAATTGCCAAAGCTAATCCCCTACAATTGCGTTCCGATTCAGGAAAATTGAATCCCAGGAACGTTCAACCAACTTTTAATGAACGCTCTGGAGGGATCCAGTGCTAAAAGTGCCACGGGAGAATTCACAAGGCCAACCAGTGTCCTAATTTGAAGACTATGGTGATCAGAGACGACGAGTGTCTCACTGAAGACAAGCAGACGAGGAAGTTGATGACAAAATTGAAGCCGAGCCTCCACCTGGCAAGCTTCTAGTTGTTGGTCAAAGAGCTTTAACCATTGAAACGCAACCAGACTTGATCTAAAGGGAAAATTTATTTCATTCCCGTTTCTTGGTTGTCGGGAAAGTCTTGTGGGTGATCTTTGACAGAGGCAGCTGTGCCAAGGTCATCATCCAGGATGCCAAGGACAAACTCGGCCTGAAAACTACAAGGCATCCGAAGCCCTATAATTTGCACTGGCTCAATGATTATGGAGCCTTTCTAAGTATCAAGTAAAGCACGAGTGAAGTTTGACATAAGAGCTTACCACGAGGAGCTCGAATTTGACATCGCCTCGATGCAAGCTGCACACTTGCTTCTCGGGAGGCCGTGGCAATTTGATCATGGCGTATGCCACTACGGAGGGTCGAACTGCTACGAATTTCGGCACAAGGGGAAGGAGATTCTGATGAAGACCCTGTCACCGGAAGTGGTCTGAGAAGATCGACTACAGCTTGAAGCTAGTTAGCGTCGATCCAAAAGGAATTCAAGTACTAAGTCCGGCGAGGGTGACAATGCTGCAACTCTTATAATTCGGCGATATATGTTGACTGAGTACAAGAAAGAAAGGATGATTCCTCGACGTGGAATCTGCCAACCATCGGCGGAGTAGAGCAGGAGAGAGAGTGAATTGGCCGGAGCAACTGGAGAAGCGTGGACCCAAACGGTGACTGCAGGCAAGTTCCAAATTGTTTCAAGAAGCTCATATGGAAATTGGATTAGGGCAAACATACCTAGATTGTCGAACCCAATTCGGCCAAATAATTTTCTGAAAACGCTCAAACATGACCAATTTTCGAGCGAATTGGTCGGAGTGAATGGGGATGAATCGAAGCAATTGATTGATGCAGAATCGATTACGGTGAACCCACGAAACTCTTGGATTCATCAAAACAACCTAGAGATCCCTCTATAAAAAAACGTCCAATTTTCAATTGGACTTTCTGGTTCGAAGAGTTTGAACGTCGACAATGACGAGAAACAAGGAAGGGCATTCGATGTTGGAGATGATGAATCTTAGGCTGAGGCTGGTCCAGAACTTCAATTCGAAGGAAGACGAATCCATCGGTGACCGTGAATTGCGCTGTAGATCCCTGGAGAGAAAAACCCCAATTTTGACCCTAAAGAACACTAACCGGACCGCATGAAATTAGGTTTCTTCTACTACATCGACATGAAATTGGGTGATCAGATTGGTACCTGTAAGAGCTCGAACGAGGAGGCCAAAGATCATATTGAGACTAGAGTTTCTGCCTTGGAGAATAAGCAATCCGAATCCTTTTCGGATTAGGATTAGTAGACTGTTTGTGTTTTAATTCATTTTGTTGTTGGTTTTGGATTCCTTTTCATAGTAGATTTTAATTGGAACTTGTTTGAGAGTTGGTAGGATTATCTAGGTCTATTTAAGTCGTTCTATTTCATTGTAACAGGGAGTTTTTGAGTTAGTTGAATAAATCGTAAGGTTGTGATTGCATAGCATCTTGCTTTGTGAATTTGGAGATCTTCCTAGCTAAATCTAGGTTAGATTTTGAGCTTGTATCGTTCAGTTATTCCCACTGTTCATGGCCAAGCATCTACCTTAAGGTTCAAGCCTCTTTCTCTATGAGAAGGTTGCATGACATCACCATCCCAAAAATGAACCTAAACTCTATTTTGTGTTTTTCCTTATTGAGTTTTTGATTCAATCTTTGGATTGAATCTTGTTGTGCTTCTCTAATTCAAAACCTCCTAGATAGGGGGTTATCATAGATGGTACCATCCATATAGTGGACACCTTCCAACCTCTTACTGGATGTTGACCATCACACATCATGGATATCATCAAACCCTACGGTGGATGATAACAACCCTATGGTGTATGGTACCAACCCATATCATGGACACCATCCAAAGTACTAATTGGATGGTACCATCCCATATCATGGACACCATTCAAAGTACTTAATTGATGGTACCATCCAATCTCATGGATACCATACTAGTTGGATGGTTCCATCCATGTTGAAACAGGTGACATGATGAGGTGTCTATAGACTTCCTATGACGACAAATGACTTGTGTAGAGGCTAAGTGGAGCTACTTTTTGAGAGGAGGAGATAGAAAGAGCGCAGTTGGAGGACTCTGGGCAGCAAAAGTTGAAGCAACCTTCTGGAGAGAGGGAGACAAACACAATCCAACACAAAGACAACTTGTCTCAACTGCCTTTTTTCCTTTTCTTTGTAGGTTGCAGGGCTCTTCTTCCTGAAGGATCCTCCATAGCATTAGTGAAAGGTAATGAAGATTTTCCTCACACCAAATACCCTCATTCGAATAGTGTTTGAAGAGGTGTGGACCATTGTAACCATCGTCACCTTCGTAGAAGTCAGCCACAACCCATCCACATATTTTCCACCGTTAACAGTGAGTACAACATTTGATGGATGCATCAACCTACAAGATTACGTTAAGGACAAAGTAGTAAAATATGATCATGCCTCTCTAAAACACTGCCGTGTTTATCCTGCAGCTGCATGTGTTTCTATAGTCAAGAGGAATCATGAAGAAAGTGGGAAACATGGGCTCTTGAAAACACGATCGTATTTCCTCAAGCAACGCGCGTGTTTCATATGTCTAGAAGAATGCTGGGAAATTGCTGAAGAACTGTAAAATACGGGTAGGAGGGAAATAGAGAAACATGACCATTTTTCTCCTAAAGTGACCATGTTTCTCCCTGTCCCAGACTTCAGTGGGGCGTTTGATCGGGTCAAAACACAGGAAGATATAAAACATGGGCGTGTTCACGACCATATTTTGCCTAGTTTCGGGGTAGATTGGCAGAATTTTCCTTTTGCAAAGGATCCGACTTTTGTCAGCAAAAATAAAGGTTTACAGAGATAAAGTGACAAAGAGTGAACTATTGGATTCCTAGATGGACTCTTTTCAACATTGGAGCTCGATTCAAGCCTCTAGGAGTGAAGATTGACATCTTAGAGAGATTATACACATCCTCATGAGTATGGCTGCTTTGATTTTACTTTTCCTCTCTCTCTCTGGAGTGAAACTCCTTTTCATTGGATATGAAGAAATCTGGGGCATGTTCGGAAGTTGAGATTCTCTAAATTGATGTATTTAATCAATGTATGAATTATAATTAGATGTATTGTTTCAATGTATGAATTTGAAAAATACATTGTTTGGAGATTGAATGATTTTGATGGTCTCTCAAAGAATAATGAAGAAAAAGTAAGCTAACAATACTCAAACACAATCTCTGCTAAAAGCTGAGATTTAGGGCATGTTTGGAGGTTGAGATTCTCCAAATAGATGTATTTGTTCAATTTGTGTATTATCATTTGATGTATTGATTCAATGCATGTATTAGAAAAATACTTTGTTTGGAGAGGCAATGATGAAACAAAAAGTAGGGTAGACAATCCCTTGTTAACAATCTCACCTTTTGGTAGAGATTTAAAATCATTCATTTTGAGTGATTATAGGTGGGCCCAACAAAAAGGTAATACATGCATTCTAACTTGATATGAAACAAAAAAAAAACGACTTAATCTTATCATTACATGTATTTGCTAAATACCTCACTTCAAATATCAACTTCCAAACAAGTATTCTGTTTCATTTTAAGACAAAAAACGACGAATTCTTCTGATTACATGTATCGGTCAAATACATCATCTGATATCCCAACTTCCAAACGACCCCCTAGTTCCATATATTATGATGCTTCTTGTATGAATCTTTGGATGCTATACTGATTGATTTTATTCAATTGAGGCATGATTATTTGATTAAATTGGATCTTGATCACATTCACTTGATTTCTACTTTAACCTAGGATAGATTTAACCTAGGATAGATAGAATATAATTGGGTTAAGAGAGCTCTTCAAGTGGAAGTAGTGAATCGAATATGCGAAGGTCAATTGGTTTATTACTCTATACTGGAATTCATTTCAGCGGTGGAGATTTTTGTGTATTGCCTTGGCATTTGATTCCGATGGAGGTTAGTCACCCGTCGGGTACTTTTTCTAAGAGGTTTTGGCCGACTTACGAGATTACAAACTATTAACGGATCTTCTGTGTGTATAATAATCAATAAAATAGCTAAAGGGAATTACAACTTGGACCTAATTGAGGAGCTACGAGACACATACCAGAGTGACGTCTCTTGCATTCGAAAACTGGAACAGATTACTTGCTTTCTTTCTACTTGGCTTTCCACGATTTCACCACAATTTGATCACTAGATAATAGAGAATTCATTGAGTAAACATTACATCCAGGATCAGGAAGAAGCGATCAAGTTAAGGAACTCCACATCCGAAGAAGTAAAGTATCGGCACTTGAAAAGTGAGTGTAAAGGGGGTAAAATCTTCATCGAGATCCTTTAGATTATAT